GTGTCTGGAGAGAGGGAAGTCTGGGCATCTTTGCTTAGACTGCTGCCCCCGCGACCCGGTCCCGGATAAGCGGAAGAAAATGGATGGATGGATGTTTTGATTCAGTCTCACGACTCTGCTGGAATATTCTGATAGACCTGTACTACATCATCTGCTCAGTGCCAAACAGCAGACAGATAAAGTTAGCAACTACCAGGTAAACACAGTGGAGCATTAAGAAGATTAAGAGTCAGATATTGCTGCCAGGAGACTGAAATTAACTTCAGTATATTAATTAGTATTAGTGCTGAATAGTAAGTATTGATCATTGCTATTATAATTAACAAATATTCAGACAGGTTGTTACATGGTGTTTTAGAAGTTGGTGCAAGACCCCCCACTGGGTAGGCAGGTGTCTGACCGATGGATATTCTATACAAAACAATTCGTCTGACTTTCCCATGAATAGTGGGGTATTTTATTTTTTTATATTTTTTTTTTTATGTATGACTGGTGAACAAGTATGCACTCCCCCCAATAAAATCAACTGAGTGACACTGTTTGCTGGCACGTGACCTTTCTGTATTATACTTTGTTTGTTTTGTTATAATTCTGTATCACAACTTTTTTTTTTCTTTTTGCAAAGTAGTTTGAACTACTTTTCTAAGCAGGAAGGTTAGGATTCAGGGTAAGGACTAATATGTGAACCGTGTACAGATTTCATTATTCTTTATGCAGCATGAGCACACAGCCATGAAACACCTTGGCTCATAACTTACAAAGGTGCCTCAACTTTCAAAACTGGGTCTAACCACAAATCAAGTTTCTTATTTCGCTCTGCTTTTCTGGTCCTGTGTCTGTGTGTGTACGTGTCTGTGTGTAAACTGCGCGTGCCTGAGCTGTTATTTTATAAAAGCCTCTGACCCTTTTTGACTTGGCTAATATAAAGTCAACACAGACTCATGAGAAAGTCACACTCACAAACTAACCAAACTAGATTTCTCCCTTGAGTAGCTTGGCTGTAACTCAACTTCTTCCAATATGAAGGAACTGGTAGTTTGCAAAGCTAGGCTTTCAAAGCAGCTACCCCAACATTGCTAAATAGTGTACTATAGTTATACTATTTGCCATATCAACTTTATAAAGTAACAAAATTATAGTCTTGTGCCTGATTTCCCCATGGTGCCAAAAAAGATACTCTTTCCATCCATCCATTATTTATATCTATTATCCTGAATAGGGTCGCAGAGGGGGCTGAAGCAATCCCAGCTGACACTGGATGAGAGGCAGGATACCCCCTGGACAGGTCGCCAGTTCATCATAGCACTGAGACTTAGAGACAAATAACCACACACACCCACGCTCACTCCTAGTGGCAATTCAGAGTTACCAATCAACCTAAGCTGCATGCCTTTGGACTGTGGGAGGAAGCCGGAGTACCCGGAGAGAACCCACACAGGGACAAGGGAGAACATGCAATCTCCACACAGAAAGGCCCTGGGTCAGCCCAGGCTTGAACCCGGAGCCTTCTTGCTGAAAGGCGACATACCACCCAAGATACTCTATATACAGTACGTCTACACTTAACTGAGCGAGAACAAACGACCGAGACTATACAGTATATTTGAAAAACAAAAACTAATTTAAGAATTACTGTCTCACCTCATGTTTGCCCTTCATCCGGCAGATCCTGATATCATTCTTGTTTGACTCCCATGTTCTTTTCTGTATAGTACATAACACACAGATAAACACTGCTGGTTTACATTTTTCTGTAGAAGACAATGACATTTTCCAGCCTAATGATAAGTCATTTATCAACTTGGAATGTGTAAATGCTATGTGTCTTGTCCACAAGGTGCTCACCTTACTATAGAACATTTCATCTCCTGTAACAATGTCCAACTCCACACGGAAAAGGTCATCCCTGGCAAGAAAGAGAGAGAGAGTGGCAGTCAACCAACACAGAGCAACATAAACTATGGGTGCCTTGTTGTGACATATGTACAAAATGCACCTTCCAGTCCAAAGCATTAGCTGAGAGTAAATTTGGCCATCCAGTAGAACTCTCTGGTTACTCCTGATGTAACACAAAACACTAACGGTACAGAGAGCTTGAATTACACCAAAGTTTAATTCATAATACAAAGGTAAAATCATGACCACACAACAGTGGGTGGGTAATGTTTCCAAAACAAATACATTAGCTTTAGATGCTAATACTGGAAGAAAGCCACATCTGAATGCTCTCTCTTTGTCCCACTCTCTCTGTGCAACACAACCTCTTCGGTCCAGTCACCGATGTTTCAGGCTTTTAGCTGCTGAGAGCTCCTCCATGGCTGGCTGTTAGAAATGACTACCTGTGTTCGAATAACACTTCTTATAGCCTTCACAAGGTGGTAGATAGGGCTAATTTATAGACTGTGTTTTGAAAACACAAGGTAGAGGAACTGGAATGTGTCACAGAGGGGGGACATATAACACAGAGGCAGCATTTACTCATTTTCACATTTTTGATTGATCAAACAATGTGTAAGACTTTTGATAACGTAAGGCAAGATACTTCATCAAGCAAATCACAAATACTGTCATGCAGAAGCACATCTTAGATATCACCAGTGCAGGACAGTGTAGGTCAATGCAGATTTTATTCTGGATGAAATCCAGTCCATGCCCTTAATACAAAGTCTGAATATACAGTAAATATTTCCACAATGCAGTGAATATGTGTGGTTTTGCTCCTCAATAATTTTCTGTCTTGTGTATAATCTTGCAGCGCATGCAGCTGCTGTACGCAATACATACAGAGACATTTTGATCAGACCTGCAAAGATTAGGGAGCAACCACGTCTTCCATTTCTGCGAATATAAGAAATGGAACTGCATAATGATGTCTCATATTTCCCCTTTGCCTTTTGCCTTTACTCATTAAACTTGACTTTCTGCAGTAAATTTGCAGCTAGTGCCCCAAATGTGGCTTATCAGTCATATTCAAAAACCTGAAATTGAATTAATGGATGCTTTAATTAAGTTGTTATACTAATGTTAGCACACCTCCACATGCTGCCTACACGTGGTCTGAAACCTAACATCTGAAAAAACTTAGAAAAAAATCAACTGGACCAGATTTCTAGGTTGAAGATGTTTCACCTCTCATCCAAGAGGCTGAACTGAACTGATGAAGCCTCTTGTTGTTCTCTTGAAGTTTTTTCAGCTTACCATGACCTGGATGACTGAGAATCTGCACAGAAACCTAACATCATGCATGTATTCATGATATTTCAAATGCTGCCTTCTTGCACTACTAATCTATTGATCATTCTGCAGTAACCTTGGATGTTCCTGTGCAAATGCAGACTAAATGAAAGTTGGACCAGGCAGTTAACAGCTGACGATTGAATACTGATCAAGGCCTTGGTATTTGTTGGGATGACTCTGAATCTTGGACTTTAGCTACGCATAACCACGTGATGCAGCAGTACCGATCCCCTCTCCGATCTGCTCCGCCTTCCATCTGTGCTGCATGTTCTCTGGGTCTCTCGTTTGTCTTTGACAGAGGGAGGCTTTATCATGTGTGTGCATCCATGTGCAAGTGCTTGCTCATATAAATATTCATACCTGAGTGTATCTGATTGTGTTTATGTGTTAAAAAACTGTAAGAATGTGTTTTTGATGAAAGCACGGGTAGGTCTAGTGTCTGTCAGATCACTCCTCTCCTGAATAATTCACCCTCATTTCCTGTTGGTGTGTTAGAAAATTGCCACTCTTACTCGACCTAGCAGAACAGACATCGGCTATGTGATGAAGAAGGGCAAAATCACCCAACACTTGCTCAGTGTGTCCCTGCTTAATAAGTCAGAGATTAAGAGTTCTCCAAACAGCGGAGTGGGTCAGAGTGTGAGGTGTCATCTTAACCAGGCTGCTTCAGCATTGTCTCAGTATTAACATAATGAATACAGCAACAGGCCTCATAGTAAGAGCGGCTGACAGCCAGCACTGTTGCCTCCAATGATGCACAGGAGGGGGGATTATTTACACTACTGCTTCTGTTTCTTTCTCTCCATTTCTTCTATTGCCTGCTCCAGGTGGTTTGAATGATGCCAAGCCTGTGGCCTGTTTGTTTTTGTTTGTTTAACTGTGTGTTACTACAGTTAATGTGTGCTGCATGTGGTAGAAGGTTAGCATTCAAGGTAAGGACTAACATGTGAACCGTGTAAAGATTTCATTGTTCTCTATACAGCATGAGCACACAGCCATGAAAGACTTTGGCTCATAACTTACCAAGGCGACTCAATTTTCAAAACCTGGTCTAACTGCAAATCAGGTCTCTTCTTTCGCTCCCCTTGTCTGGTCTTGTGTATGTGTGTATATGTGTGTAAACTGTGCGTGTGCCTGAGCTGTTATTTTATAAAGGCCTTTGACCCTATTTAACTTGGCTAATATACGTAAAGTCAACACAGACTCAAGAAACTGTCAACATTTTCTAATTTTCTTACTTGACCAGCTCATGAACTTTCTCCTTGCTGTAAGCAAAACAAATACAGACTTAGGTCAGGTCAAAACCTCAAACGCTGCCATGTTTTCCTACATTTCTTTTCAGTTTCACTAGTTTTCCTTTTTCTTGTTTGCTGCAGTTTTGTGGTTTAGTGTGAGCATCGCTGAGCCTTTCGGAACCTACAAATAGACTAATGAAAACAGAAAGGGAAAGATGCGAGTAGATCACCTAGTTACCCTGACAAGTCTGTTGCCTGAGGGAAAGTGAGAAAGAGCATAATCCTTGGATTTGTGAGCATGTACCTGGTGTCTGTAAAGTGAAAAGTGGGCAGTAAACTCCTGCACACTGCCAGCACTATACTATTAAGAAAGAAATGTTCATCAAAGACCTTTTTCCCCCATTAAACTCACTGTACACTCACATTACACAATACAAACCACATCTGTATACTTGAGTCTAAGTGGGCATTCAGATTGATTGCAAAAATACAGCTTTTTCTGTTAGTTTCTATGGAGGATCACATTCATGGCAGCCGGCACGAGCACCACAGGGGGCTTCTGCAAAACGCCGCAACCCTGTTCAACAAAAACAAGTTGTATCTGGTTCAACTTTTGCCTCACTGGATGGTACCATGATCTGGCTATAGGTGACAGTTGGGACATGGACACCCTTGGCAAGAAAACTTTTGTTTATCTTGTCAGCCTGTGCATTCACTGTTATTCACTCCTGAATTTGGGCCACAGTTAATGCATCATAACAACACACCATGCTTTTTTGTGAGTTATGGTACTGGATGTTAAACAGTTTTTATCTATCAATGCCAACACACTGGTGGTTGAATTTGGTGCTAATGTGGTGCTTACAGTGTGAATGAAGCCACTTGCTTTGTCTCGTCACAATGTGGCTGTATCGTACATGTCTACCTCATTCTCCCTGCAACCGCTGATCCCCTGACCAACGCAGCTCCTTGCATTAAAACACATCAGGGAGCTGCGTTTTAGCCATGTCAGTCTGAACTAAAGCTGCAACAGCCAATCAATAAAAGAATCAAATCACAAACACCACAGACAAAAACATCTTAAATGACTGATAAAATACATATAGAAATAAACTTTATTAAAAAGATCCAAAAATACAAAAGAAACAGAGAACTAGCAAATTTCACACATGCAATAAGTCAAAACTTTGCAAGCCTCATTACAGATGCACAGCTGGAAGCCTTAACTCTCAAGCTTCCCATTCTTTGCCACAACTGATAATCTCCCTGTCCATCTGCCATGAGGCATCTGACCTGGCTCTAGCTGCATCTAGTGACCTCTGAGGTCAGCATCTCCTGAATAACAAACTCAGCAACCTCCAACCTGGCAGTAGGTCAGGACACTTTTCCTAATGCAAAACATAAACACACATTCATACACACCGGGAGGCAGATGGCAAAGCCTCTTACACTTTATCAAAATTAGTCCAGCTAATTAAGAGTCATCTGTGCTTCTTTGGTCATCCTGTCAAAAGGTAAACACTCAGCAATTGGCTTATATTTGTGTGGAGCCTACTGGACCCTTTCGGGCTGAAGTCCACAGGATCCACAGCTGCTCATCTTGACAGCTATGAACATAGCAAGACACTTACTCCACCTGCCACCAGCCACATACATAGTTCACTTTCATTTAGCGAGGAAAAGAAGAGGATGGAAATGCGGCTGCTCTCAGCAGGTGCTAGCAGCAGGGAATTAGCAGCGCTTGCAGTCTGAGGAGCAGCTATGCTAATAGTGACAAGATTTGGGGTTCAGTGAGGCATCTTATCAAACCATGCACGCTATGGGAAGCTTTTGTCAGTCATACCTGACACCATATATTTATACATTACATGTTTTAAAACACCGCTTTCCTACTGGGCTGTCTCTGACACACATGCATTTGCACATGGCTCATTTTCTTTGTAGACTGACCATCTTCTGCCAGAAAGCTGGAAACACTACTAGACACTTATGAGAAGTATATAAATACACTCTTGGAACTCCCTCTCTTTGTATCTCTGGCTCTTATCAACACCTCTTGCTTCTCTTGCCTTTCTGTCTGTCAGTCTCGTATTTCATTATCATCTGGTTGACGGAGACATTCATATCAGTTTACTTCTGCCATTCAGTACAAATTTCTGAGGCTGTAAATTGAAATGAATGTCTTTTAAAGATTTTTGACTACAATAGCAGTTTTATTTTCAGGCTCTGTTTATATTGTAGACCCCCTGAGTGCAGGCAGAATGGCTGGAAGTATTGTTATATAGTTTCATACATTTACTACCAAGTCTAAGTAGTGAGGTTTTACCAGCTGGAGGCCAGAGACAGGGTCATTTCCGAGACCACAGTGGCATCTCTTATTGGAAACCACTTCAATCTTCCTTCAGATTGCCACTACAGCAAATAACCAACAACATATGTGAAAACTGACTGTGTCTCATTTTTAGCATGTTTCAAGCTAAATACATTTTTGAACAACACGGGCATAAAATCCTGAAGTGCATGTTGTTTTGTCAGATAAATCTGTTGCAGCTCGGCTCCTGAATGGTAGCAGATGTATCTTTACAGTGTAAACCTGCTGCAGCTGAGCAGGCTGTCCTTGTCTGGCCCTGCTGACCACCAGAGCTACTATCATCAGCACATTCAACAGACTGACAGACATATGGGGACCAAAGTAGAACACATTTGTCAGGCCAAATATCAGCCTTCAGATGCAGCTACTGCACCAGTTTTGTCACAGAAAGTTAACTATATTTGCAAACTAGTCCATAAGTCTTTGCAAGAATCATTTGACCAACCATCGGTTATGAAACATGACTGCAGTAGCTTGTAATACATTTATAGCACTAACCTAAAGCTTCCATACATTTTTATTATTAACCTTTAAGTTTTAAAATTTAAACATTTAAACTCCCATGGTTCACCACCACGGCCCTTGTTGTTTTATCTATATACTGTAACCATGTGGACATGTACATATTGTTATTATTGCTGATATTGATATTTCCACAACTTTCTGCTAAGTTCTGATGTTTCTATTTTGGCAAGTCAATTCCAACCTTTACCACTCATATTAGAACATTTACATATGGTGTGACAGACTCGTATTACTCATGCAACTTTAAACTGAGCCATGGTCTAACAAGCAGAATAACAACCATATGTATCAGTGTGCAGGATCTATTTGTTACTGATTGTATTCATCAGTTGATTCAGTTCTTTTGTGTACAGTAGAAGACTTATGGAGGTGCTAAAACTTGTAGAGTATGTGCACAAAGGAGACATTAATGAGTGGCTAATGGTTTGCTTTATTAGCAAATTTTATTGTAAGGCTCAAACACTATATCTAATTTCTAAACTAATTTCCACTGAAAGTGGCTAATGTAGCGATAACAGACAATCCAAAAAATATTAAAGGCAAAGGTGGGTATGACAGAGCTATATTTGTACTTGCATGGCCATAAATGAAGTGTGAATTTGTTCATTAACATGTCTGTGTGTGAGCTGGTGTGTGTTGTACCTGGCTCCAATGTAGAGTGTTCGATTGACTTGGAGGATCCTCTGGATGTGTAAAGGCTCTTGTCTCAGCCATGTTCGGTGTGGTCGACCCAGAAACACTGGGTATCTTCTCACCACTATCAGCGAATGAGAGACAGAAACATACAATGTCTCAATCCCAAACTGTCATCCATCTTAGCATAAAAGTAGTTTGTTTTGACAGTAGTAACAAGTATTAAGGGTGAGATGGAAACCATGTTCAAGACCTGCATTTAAAGCAGCTGCATATCTGCTACATTAGGTATACAGAGGCACAGAGCAGAGCACAATCAAATAATCTGCTAAAAATGAGAGATGCCTGAACTGGACTGCATGTGTCAAAAGTATATTCACGTTTTGTTTTGCTGAGTGATTGAGACTCACTTCTGATGGATTGTTTTGTTGACAAGTTTGCAATACATGTTCTGCTATCTGACTCAGATCATTCAAAAGACATCAAAAAGGTTAAAAACAAAATGTTCACTGCTTCAGAGGAAACAAAATTCTGTGCATCAAGGAAAGGCAAGAAATCACAGATAAACGTGGTGGTGCATGTTCAGCTACCTTTTCATGATGTCCCACAGATGTGCAAAGACAACGTTTAAATATTAAAGTGAAACAGGAATAACAGTAACATATACATTTCATGGATTACTGGTGGAAAACCAACATGGTCATATGTCTTCGACACTGAATGACTGTTTTCATCTGATATCCTCTCATCCTCTCTGTCCTGCTACTGTATCATTATCCTTATCCTATAGTTCATTCAGCTGTTGCTTCTTCTTATTTTATGTATTGTCTGCTTCATTCTGTTTGCTTCTAGTTCTCCACTTTCCTCTGTCTTGTCTGTCCTTCCAGATGAGTTTGCATTTTGTATTGTAACTTACTGAATGCAGCCATTCCAGTGTAGCAAACTCTACCCTGTAGTGTTTTGTATTGATATGTGGAGAAGGGTCTGGATTTAGCTGGGAATGATCAGTCAGTGTTATTGAACTGCAATCAATCAATGTCTGGCCCAGGCTGGAGACTGGCAAGCTGATATGGAGACTCAAAGTCTGAGTTGTGTAAGGAGCTCTGTCTCTTTAGGACCGGAGTGTGTGTGTGAGAAAAAGCCATGAATGCAAGAGCCCTTCCTGAACACTGCTCTCATTCCTCAGTGTGACCCCACACCCATGACCTAGACACCAGTCAACACTCTTTGTGTGAGAGCCTGTCTGACCTCCCCCCTCCCATTTCAACACCCTGTGTGTTAGGGCGCGGCCCCACACCTCACACATCACGACCAGGGCGAGGGACACACAGGGGAGTAGACGGCTTGGGGGGCGAAAAAGTCAGGAGGTGAATACCTTCAGTGGGGATGAAGCTGAGGGGCCCCGGCTCCTCAGGAAACGCAGAGGTGGCCGTCCGTAGGACCCAACATAGCAGGAAGAAGGAGGGAGGGGCCACGGTAGCCATAGCAACAGAACTGTAGAGTCTGTGGAAATAAAAAAAGAGAAAAAGGACAAAAGGGGAATGAGTGGTTGGTAAATGAGGCAAAGGAGTGAAACAAGCACACTGTAAACATACATAGAGTCACTCACTCAGTCACTGACTGACCACATAACTAACTAACTGGTTGGTTGATTTTCTTGACTGAAGCTGCCTTGTAGTCCCACAGCATCTCTATCTCTTTGCCACGATATGAAGTGAGATAAATACTGTAGCTGCTCAGAGCTGGGGATTAAGTCATTCTCTGAGGGAGAAGTGTCCAGTCAGCTCTGAAGGCAGCCTGATCACATCACCATATCAAACATCACGCCACATGTGACGCATCTGAAAACTATGAGAAAGAGATGAGGGGAGGTAGGGGCGACATCAAGATATGACTTATAGATGAATGGAAAATCTGTACAGAGTAAGTGAATTACTTAATAACCCTCCATACATTAAGTATTATGATATGAAAGAGACAGAGAGGGAGTGAAGTGGTGGTTTACTTAAATTAAATGCCTGCCAGCAACCTAAATTACCTATCTGACAGTAGAGCTAAAGTGACAGCATTTTTCATCAGGCATTAGCGAGGCACATGCGGGTCCCGGATGTGATTCATGTGGAAATACAAATGATATCCAAATTAAGTTACCCTGCTTGATCCATCTAGAAGATGACTGAGGCACTATGCCTCGCAGCAGAGAAGCTCTCAGGATTGCTATTGACTTTAGCCACAAACCTCAGATGGTCCGACCGCTACTTCTCTGTGTTATTACTGTAATTTGGCTGCTGGTGCACATGTGTGGTGGAATTCAATGTGCACTTCTATTAAAGTTATTATTGTCTTGAGCTCTGACTCATCTGTGATTATCTATCCATTTTTCCCTCTCCCCTTAATTCCACTTTCATCTTGTTGTTATCTTAATGTTAAATGCAACAACTGGTAATTTGCTTTGAAAATCATGTGGAAAGGCTCTAAACAAAACATTGTGGCAGTTCTTTCAGACATGCACAATTGCAACATGTCAGATTTGAATATTCAAGGTGGCATTTTTTATGCAAAACACCTTAGGATTTTATTGTGGTCACAGATGCACAATGTGTAAAACAAACAACTTGCTGAATGTATGGCATCTACTATGCATCCCTCCTTTATTTGTCATCATCTTTATCTTTTCATGTCTATGTCAGTTCAGTTCAAGTCAGCTGAATTGCATTGTGATTAGTGAACCTTTTGGGCAAAGAGATTTAACTTTGGTTATTATAATGAAACAGGAATAATGACAACATCAAGGCACCTGTAATAAAAACAATCAGAATGACTGCAACTGAAAGAACAATACAAAAAAATGCTAAATACAGTATATAAAAATACATGCACTACAGGTGAAACGCATATGGACACCCAACAATTCCATACTGTGCAAGTCTAGAGTTCTTCAAAGCCAAACTGAGTAGCTTGCTTTGTGCAAAGGGTCATTGTCATGCTGAAACAGAAAAACACCTTCCCCAAATGTTGTCATATTGTTGGCAACATACTATTATATAAAATCATTCTTTGTATGCTGCAGAAACATTTTGTCATCACATTTAGTGGAATTAACACATTATGGTATAATAACACATGTTGAATTGTATAACAGTAACCAGTAAAAGAGTTATTAAATTAGGCTTCTGACTCTGTAATCTCAATGACACCCCAGAATGAATCTAACTTTGGCTAACACTAGCCACCATAAGCTACTGCTCGTACCAGAGCAAGTAAGACTGGTGAGGAAAAATGTGTGCATTGAATTGAGAAAGATGTGATTTATTGTCTGTTAAGTCAACTTTTGTACACAGAACGACCCCCACCCCTTTAGAAAGGCTACTTGCTGGAAGACTCTCCTTAATTAAAAATAAAGGACCTAATAAGCCCAAAAAGAAGGAACAAAATATTAAATGAAACATACATTGAAATAAAGCAAAGAAAAGGTACAACAATGCAGCAACAAAGAAAGCTGACATATTGTATAGTACTGTATACAATTTGAACCAGCTCCCTTTTTTTAGTCATTCTCTTTCACATGGTCTCTCTCTCTTTCACCCACAGGACACAAACAGCCATTGTGTAGCCCAGATCTTTAATGGAGTCCCACATATAATCTTATCAGGACTCTTAATCTGTATGGGACATTTCTCAAATTCCCTCCTCTGACATCAGAATAAAGTTGGAGGCATGCTAATTATTCAGCACCCACAAGTAAATTACAGGAGGTGAAGGGGACAGAGTCACTGTGAGAAGAAAGGAGGTCACAGGGTAGAGTGAGAGATGGGGTGAGAGATAAGTGAGACACTGTAAGACAAAGACAGAGACAGAGAGACAGAGAGAGAGAAGATGAGAAGTCAGGAAGACCGTATATTCAATCAGAGATTCTATTGTTTCTGCTATTAATAATGCATGAATAAATGTCAGGCAGTATGCATTCAATTAGTATAATTACACACCCTGGGCTATACAGTTTCATGGGATGGCAGAAGAAGTACATACAAGCAACTATGTATGTGTGTGCGACAAATACTTCTGAGCCAAAGCATCTCTGTAATTATGACAAATGGCTGCAGTTGAGTCCATTCAGCAGCCTCATTGCATGGCACAAACTGTACAGCAGTATGCCGTTATCATTGAACAAGGCATACTGGAATTCACATATACAATTTGCTATTTGGAGGAGACACAAATCCAAAATATTCAACCCCAGGGTGCTGTAGCACTCCGTGCTCGAAATTGAAATGGCAGTAGATGTCACTGAAGTCATATTAAAGTTGCGCACTATGCAGGCTCTATGGATTTAAAAAAAAAAGCTTAAAACTATACTGTCGGTAGCATATTATTGTGCTGTTTTGTTCATTGTGGGGACTACTGTTTCCAGTGTTGTGTTGTGAGACTATCCCAACAGCTTTATTTGGATGCAAAGTCAATATAGATGGAGAAAACAATAGCTGGTCAAGTGAAACATCAGTCCAAGCTTTAATATCTCCAACTTTCTTTTGTTCACAAGAGGCCCAAGGTCACCACTGTGCACCACTCACTTCACTGGGATTTACACAGACTTGTTTCATCTGTCCATTTCCACAGGCCCAGATCAATTTGATTATGGGTGCTTAGGCAGGTAATTTCCTAAACAAAGTCATTATGAGATCATTTAGCTGCTGAAAAGGTGGAAGGAACTTGGGTGCAGAGGATGCAACGTCTCGCTGGACACTATCAACGCCATCTCAGAATGATCACCACTGTGGCCAGCTTAGGTAGCAAATCACCAGCACATCAGTGATGCCTAGTGTGTTAAGCAGAGCCCTAATGAAGACTGATGCCCTTAGGGTAAAGAATAGAGGCTTTAAAGAGAAGAGCAAATGGTTTGATGGTGAAGAGGAGATGTGAGGAATGCTTGTGATGTGCGATTGAATGCTGGTTATAAAGGGATAGTGACCCTGTGCTGCAGGGGTTTGGATAGTTTGCAGGCAAATAGTACACCTCATCAAATGAAGGCACTATTATGCTCTGTATGCTTTTATCACTTATTACAGTTGCCATGGCTCCCCCTCTCTCCTCTCCCCAGTCTCTCTGCCTTTTCCCTTTCACAGTCGAGTTACACCTTGGTTTCTCTCTTAGCCCCAGTCTTGTAGATGTATACTGCTTCCATTACACATCCATGAGGTACCTGTACTAAAAACTGGACAGTTGAAAGAAAGAACCAAAATTATACATGTCCTAGATATAGGGAAGATGGTAATAACCTAGAGAAGCATTAATGAGGACACAATATTTAACAGAGTTGTCAAGTATTGTGGAGAAGTATCAGTACTAGCAGAACACAAGACTGAAGCAATGCTCCAATATAATCCCCTTTCACACTGGTCGCCCAGGTGAATGAATATGATCTGTTTCCACTCAAACCATCTTATAATTTTGCAAGGCAATTTTTCCTGTTCATGATTCTTAATCACTAATCAGTGTTTTGATCGTGACAGTGTATCACATGACTACTTGCCTTAGTAATGAACCGACAGAAAATGATCCCCTCAGCTCTACAGTGCATTTGAACATCGTACAGCTCATTGTTTGGTTTTCTGTCCAACACCGTTTGGTTCTCTCCCGATGCTCTCATTCAACTAACTTATTTTTAGCTGCAACATACAGTGGTTTCCATGAAGAAGCTCTGATGAACACGTTGTAAACAGCAGACAGATAAAGTTAGTGACTAGCTGGTGAACATAGCAGCTACAGAGCCAAATATTTCCCTCAGGTTTTTGTGGAGGACAAAAACAGAGAAAGAAGAAAAGTGAATATTGGACTTAGATTGGGGGGGGTTCACTGTCTTGCCCAAGGACACTTCGATATGTGGACTGCTGGCACTGAGATTCAAACCTTCAACCTTCTGGTTGGGAAACAACTGCTCTACCTACCGCACCACTGTCGCCACCCCCCTATGGTACAATAGCAACAGTTGTTTTAGTGGTACTTTTACAATAGTAATATCAGAACCTCATTTTACTTCAGTTCATTTGATATTAGTGATATTAATAATCAGTTGATCTATAAAATGAGATAACAACAACAATCTGAAGGGTTTCAAGCTGTAACAGCCTTTGCTACTGTAAGGGAGACACACTCAAACTCTCAAAACACTTTGAGTTTGATCTTTAAAACATTTAATAACTCTTTAAGACAAATTAATGTTCAAAGAAATATATCTTTGCCGCAGGAACAAGGGTGAGCTTCAGTTTTATTGATCCACATCACCAAGTTGTTCGATACAAGAAACTGTGTCCGTACATGGGAAATGATATTAAGTAAGTAAGCAAGTAAGTAAGTCATTTTTTGATTGTTCCATTTTCTTTATGTAGACTTAAAGAAACCCCATAGATTCCCCAGTGACCAGAGTAATTGCCATATCAGTGAGATAGGAGATGCAGCTTTGTGGCGGGTGTGAAATTACCATCAGGTGATAGCCTGGTGCGGCT